ACAGAGTGGAAGAGGAGAAAGTATTCACAATGACTACCAAAAGAAGAAGATTAAGACACAGATGACCCACAGAGACGTTAGAAAGTGATTTTATATCAAAACAATTCATAAACGAGATGAGGACATACTAGAACCCAATTCCACCCACAATGTCGAAAGATAAATGAAATTACGTGTGTGGAGCCTTTATATTAGCGACTGGAAAGACGGAGCCCAGGAACTGAAGCTTCTTCCTGCAGGTGAAAAATGGGCAAGCACACTTGGGAAACCGAGGGAGATATAAGCGTGTCCAGGTACCGTATATCAGGCCTCCTGATATAACCAGGAGGCCTGGTCGACGACCGGGCCGCGGGGACGCAAAGCCCCGGAAGCACCTCAAGGTAAGGTGTCTAGAGTTAAACATCCCTACGCATCTAGTACTTCACTCATGCCAACCCAAATAAACCCCATTCAAACAAAACCCAAACCCAAATGAACCCTACCCAAACAAGCGCAAATCCCAACCCAAACACTAAGTTGCTGTTTCCCTGCTGTCAGACTAAGGCCACAGCGCTGCCTGACCCTCTTACCAAACAGAGCTCAGCAATTCCCCCAAACATTCGACACAAATGTCAACAGAGCAGCTGCCAGAGACACGCAGCTGCTCCCCGGCTCAGGTCCTCGTCCTTGTCAGGTGTGGTATTTGGCTCGAGTTTACAGGAGGCGTTTAGTAAATTATAATTTAATTTACTAATTTACTCCTGTAAATTATAATCTTCATGTTTTACATATACATTCTCCTAGTCCTGATTTTCTCTATTCCTCCTTCCCATTTATCCTCTCGTTACCTCCTCCCTCATCCTGCATCAACTTTAACCCCTGTATTGCAAGACCAATTAGATGCCAATTTCTAAATTGATCCACCAGTCCCCCCTTGTTCTCCTGTATATACCTGGCTTGCTATTAGATTAACACCCTCCATCCACGCACTTCCACAGGCGGATACATCGCTCACCCACAAGAGGATTTAACTGTTGTACCGGACCTTTCATCTACCTAGTGTCAACTGACTCCCCATATGACACCTTCCTATGCCACGTGTGTCATGAAAACACATGACAAAAGCTATGTACATATTAGTAAGATAGGGGGAAGCATGGAATCTGTGTACATATTACATAGAAAAAAAGGAGAATAGAATTTGTGAACATATTCGAAAGGGGAAGTACAGAATCTGTGTACATATTAGACTGAAAGGAATAGAAAAACAGAATCTGTGTACATAGACAAAAATTGTAAATAAAACCAAGGCTTACACACTTAATTGCTGTGCCCTGATCGTAGCGTAGAAAGTTTTTTTTTTTTTTTTTTTTTCGTTGGACCCTCTAGTCCTCTTACTCCCTACTCTCTCTGCGTCCTCTCACTCCCTACTCTCTCTGCGTCCTCTCACTCCCTACTCTCTCTGAGTCCTCTCACCCCCTACTCTCTCTGAGTCCTCTCACCCCCTACTTTCTCAGTCCTCTCCCCCCTACTCTCTCTGCGTCCTCTCACCCCCTACTCTCACATATATATTAAACTGAACCCCAAGAAAATGTGTTAAATCCCGAAAGCGCTCGGACTATTTTCGTTTTTCTGTAGGTGGATACTTGCAGATATTAAACCAAATCTAAAGAGACACAATATTATATATATATATATATATATATATATATATATATATATATATATATATATATATATATATATATATATATATATATATATATATATATATATATATATATATATATGTCGTACCTAGTAGCCAGAACGCACTTCTCAGCCTACTATGCAAGGCCCGATTTGCTAATAAGCCAAGTTTTCATGAAATAATTGTTTTTCGACTACCTAACCTACCTAACCTAAACTAACCTACCTTTTTCGGTTACCTAACCCAACCTAACCTATAGAGATAGGTTAGGTTAGGTTAGGTAGGGTTGGTTAGGTTCGGTCATATATCTACGTTAATTTTAACTCCAATAAAAAAAATTTACCTCATACATAATGAAATGGGTAGCTTTATCATTTCATAAGAAAAAAATTAGAGAAAATATATTAATTCAGGAAAACTTGGCTTATTAGGCAAATCGGGCCTTGCATAGTAGGCTGAGAAGTGCGTTCTGGCTACTAGGTACGACATATATATATGTATATATATATATATATATATATATATATATATATATATATATATATATATATATATATATATATATATATATATATATATATATATCAAGACGATGACGATATCTTGAAAGCTATATAAATTGTCGTTGTAATAGTGTTGTATTTAATCAATTTCAATAATACCCAAACTTTTTTGGGGGCAAACATAAGAATTCAAAGTTTGTAGTCAACACAATGAAGCATTCCTAACGTAACCTAAACTAATGTAACCTAACGTAACATAACATAACGTAATCTAATGTAACATAACATAACGTAACCTAACGTAACATAACATAACCTAACGTAACGTAATGTAACGTAACGTAATGTAACGTAATGTAATGTAACCTAACCTAACCTAACGTAACCTAACGTAACCTAACCTAACCTAATCTAACATAATGTAACCTAACGTAACCTAACCTAATCTAACGTAACCTAACGAAACGTAACCTAACGTAATGTAACGTAACGTAACCTAACATAACCTAACCTAATGCAACCTAACCTAATCTAACGTAAGATAACGTAACCTAACCTAATGTAACGTACCCTAACCTAACCAAGGAAACCCATACGACCCCCCACATTAGCCCACACACATACCAAGATATAATATCTTCCCCATCGTTATCATTCGGCCAAAAGAATGCCGTTAAGTAAACGATCATTCTCGTTAAATCGACCGAGGGATATATATGAATCAAGTCAAAGTTCTGTGTTTTGAAGTCGACGAAAACAACACAAGCAGAATCTACCCCTCCCCACACCCCCCTCGAACCTCTCACTGTTTACGTATGATAATCACCCCACCACCTAGTATCCTGATCTCGAATGATACCGGAAAAATGCCATTTAGCGTTGTTTAGTGAACTGTAAGCTATGCCTTTCAGGTTATTTTCGCTGGCTGGCGTTGGGTTGGGCGGTGACAGTGCGCTTCACTTTATGCACATTTTTCGCATCGACAAACACAGGCAAAATGTCACGGATCTTGAGCCTGGTGGTCCGTGTCGGCCATGTTGATGGGGTCAGCTGATCCGTGGCGGCCATGTTGGTGGGGTCAGCTGATCCGTGGCGGCCATGTTGGTGGGGGACAGCTGATCCGTGGCAGCCATGTTGATGGGGTCAGCTGATCCGTGGCGGCCATGTTGATGGGGTCAGCTGATCCGTGGCGGCCATGTTGATGGGGTCAGCTGATCCGTGGCGGCCATGTTGGTGGGGACAGCTGATCCGTGGTGGCCATGTTGATGGGGTCAGCTGATCCGTGGCGGCCATGTTGATGGGGTCAGCTGATCCGTGGCGGCCATGTTGATGGGGACAGCTGATCCGTGGCGGCCATGTTGATGGGGACAGCTGATCCGTGGCGGCCATGTTGATGGGGACAGCTGATCCGTGGCGGCCATGTTGATGGGGACAGCTGATCCGTGGCGGCCATGTTGGTGGGGACAGCTGATCCGTGGTGGCCATGTTGATGGGGTCAGCTGATCCGTGGCGGCCATGTTGATGGAGACAGCTGATCCGTGGCGGCCATGTTGGTGGGAACAGCTGATCCGTGGCGGCCATGTTGATGGGGTCAGCTGATCCGTGGCGGCCATGTTGGTGGGGACAGCTGATCTGTGGCGGCCATGTTGATGGGGACAGCTGATCCGTGGCGGCCATGTTGACCCAAACAGCTGATCCGTGTCGGCCATGTTGACCCAAACAGCTGATCCGTGGCGGCCATGTTGATGGGGTCAGCTGATCCGTGGCGGCCATGTTGATGGGGTCAGCTGATCCGTGGCGGCCATCTTGGTGGGGACAGCTGATCCGTGGCGGCCATGTTGATGGGGTCAGCTGATCCGTGGCGGCCATGTTGATGGGTCAGCTGATCCGTGGCGGCCATGTTGGTGGGGACAGCTGATCCGTTGCGGCCATGTTGATGGGGTCAGCTGATCTGTGGCGGCCATGTTGATGGGGACAGCTGATCCGTGGCGGCCATGTTGATGGGGACAGCTGATCCGTGGCGGCCATGTTGACCCAAACAGCTGATCCGTGGCGGCCATGTTGATGGGGACAGCTGATCCGTGGCGGCCATGTTGATGGGGACAGCTGATCCGTGGCGGCCATGTTGATGGGGACAGCTGATCCGTGGCGGCCATGTTGATGGGGACAGCTGATCCGTGGCGGCCATGTTGACGCAAACAGCTGATCCGTGGCGGCCATGTTGACCCAAACAGCTGATCCGTGTCGGCCATGTTGATGGGGACAGCTGATCCGTGGCGGCCATGTTGACGCAAACAGCTGATCCGTGGCGGCCATGTTGACCCAAACAGCTGAACCGTGGCGGCCATGTTGACCCAAACAGCTGACCCGTGGCGGCCATGTTGACGCAAACAGCTGACCCGTGGCGGCCATGTTAATGGGGACAGCTGATCCATGTCGGCCATGTTGACGCAAACAGCTGACCCGTGGCGGCCATGTTGACGCAAACAGCTGACCCGTGGCGGCCATGTTGACGCAAACAGCTGACCCGTGGCGGCCATGTTGATGCAAACAGCTGACCCGTGGCGGCCATGTTGACGCAAACAGCTGACCCGTGGCGGCCATGTTGACGCAAACAGCTGACCCGTGGCGGCCATGTTGACGCAAACAAGAGTCACTATTGTGTCATTGTGTCATTATGGGGTCACATAAAAAAAAAATAATGTGATTAAGCCAATCCTTGATAATTATATAAACTAATCCTCGTAATTATTGATGTATGCTAATCTTTACCAATCTAGCTAATCTTTCCTAACTGATTAATTATATTATATTTTTCGTTGCGATAAATGTTAAGTATATAATATCTTTATTGATTAATAATAATCTCTAATGATAAATTATTTCAAAATCTCATTACAATAAAAGAAAAAAAAGTTTTTCTTACATTAAAAAAGTTCAACATAATAGAATATAACGAATTTTATATTACCAATTTGAACTTAAATAGTTCAGATTTGTTCATGAAGAAATTATCTGGAGAAAATTTAAAATAAATGGTTAACAAATGGTACACAAATGGCCTTAAGGGGGGACTCAGAGCACAGGTTCATCCATTCCCCTGATACCCCAGCATCCACAGGTGGTGTCACTCACCCCCTAATACCCCCAGCATCCACAGGTGGTGTCACTCACCCCCTAATACCCCCAGCATCCACAGGTGGTGTCACCCACCCCCTAATACCCCCAGCATCCACAGGTGGTGTCATCCACCCCCTAATACCCCAGCATCCACAGGGGGTGTCACTCACCCCCTAATACCCCCAGCATCCACAGGTGGTGTCACCCACCCCCTAATACCACAGCATCCACAGGTGGTGTCACCCACCCCCTAATACCCCCAGCATCCACAGGTGGTGTCACCCACCCCCTGATACCCCCAGCATCCACAGGGGTGTCACCCACCCCCTAATACCACAGCATCCACAGGTGGTGTCACCCACCCCCCTAATACCCCCAGCATCCACAGGTGGTGTCACCCACCCCCTAATACCCCCAGCATCCACAGGTGGTGTCATCCACCCCCCTAATACCCCCAGCATCCACAGGTGGTGTCACCCACCCCCCTAATACCCCCAGCATCCACAGGTGGTGTCACCCACCCCCCTAATACCCCCAGCATCCACAGGTGGTGTCACCCACCCCCTGATACTCCCAGCATCCACAGATGGTGTCACCCACCCCCTGATACTCCCAGCATCCACAGGTGGTGTCACCCACCCCCTGATACCCCCAGCATCCACAGGGGGTGTCACCCACCCCCTAATACCCCCAGCATCCACAGGTGGTGTCACCCACCCCCTAATACCCCAGCATCCACAGGTGGTGTCACCCACCCCCTAATACCCCCAGCATCCACAGGTGGTGTCACCCACCCCCTGATACCACAGCATCCACAGGTGGTGTCACTCACCCCCTAATACCCCCAGCATCCACAGGTGGTGTCACTAATAATTAAGAAAACGCAAAAGCAAGTCTGGAGCGTTCATCAGGGCTCATAAGAGAACGCGAAACAGAACCATTAACCATAGGCTAACAGGCAAATTACCAATCGTTTGCTTAAGTTTACCATCATTGGAAGCCATCCACGAGAATCAGAAAGGGCTGTTTCTGTGGATAACTAACAATTAGGTGGAGAACTAATTTCTGTGATTAACTAATAATTATCTAAACTATACTTAGTGTAATATTAAAGCTCATCTGGTCAAGAGATCCGTTGAAGATGTCGCTAGTGATAACGGCTTTAGTTATCTTCCTTAACGATGTCGCCCTGTTCTAAGTACCTCTCTGCTGCTAAGTTATTCGTTGGAATTGGAAAAGTTATAATAAATTGGATGATTTTTAATTCACGTGTTAAACCAGTGATAATTAAGAGCGATGGAATTAGCAGGGGAAAGCGCAAAGTCATAACGACTATATAGCACTGGGAAGGGGGCAGGATAATGTTTTGGGATGGGAGGGAGGGAAAGGAATGGTGCCCAACCACTTGTGGACGGTCGGGGATTGAATTCCGACCTGCATGAAGCAAGACCGTCGCTCTACCATCCAGTCCAAGTGGTTGGGCAGCAATCTGTGGGAAGCCGTTGACTACACTATTAATTACAAACTATTTTAAGCAGAGGACGAACCCCTCATAGGAATTTAATTTAATATTCAATATTTTAAATTAAGATGTTGTTGTTGTTAAAGATTCGCTACTTGGAACAAAAAGTTCCAAGTAGCACGGGCTATGGCGAGCCCGTGTAATGTAAGAGTTATTTACAGTTGAAGAATCTCTTTAACCTTTAATATGGATATTATTTCTCACACTTTCCTAGCCCAACCACTTGGGCTGGACGGTAGAGCGACGGTCTCGCTTCATGCAGGCCGGCGTTCAATCCCCGACCGTCCACAAGCGGTTGGGCACCATTCCTATCCCTCCGTCCCATCCCAAATCCTTATCCTGGCCCCTTCCAAGTGCGATATAGCCATAATGGCTTGGCGCTTTCCCTCTGATACTTCCCTTCTCACAGTTTCCGCTGGCGGCCTCCAGAGGGCACTAATGTACTGACGACGTCATCTTCCCACAGGAGAGTGCTCCCTGGCGGGGTTTGGTCTGCCGACGGTGGGCGTGTCCTCGCCCAACCACGCCCACCTCGACTACAACGACAACGTCACGCCCATGACCCCCCACATAGGCGAGGGCGCCCACTACGGGAGCCACGGTGGCTTGATGGGCGGCGCCTTCCACCAGGGTCAGATGGAGTGTTCCCTGCGCGCCATCCACCCCGGGGGAGACGGGGCCCTTATATACGGGGCTCCCACGCCCCTCCTGCAGCACCTGCAGCAGCAGCAGCAGCATCACCCCCGGGGTATGGAGCCCTACCCCGGGGGAGTGTGCGGGCCCCGCTGGGAGCCCGGGGGCGGCGTGCCCCGCGGGGCGGCGGGGGACAAGGCCCGCAGGGAACAACGCATCAGGAGACCCATGAATGCCTTCATGGTGTGGGCCAAGGTCGAGCGGAAGAAGTTGGCGGATGAGAATCCTGACTTACACAACGCCGACCTCTCCAAGATGTTGGGTGAGTGTGTTATGGGGGTGTTATGGGGGTGTGTTATGGGGGTGTGTTATGGGGGTGTTATGGGGGTGTGTTATGGGGGTGTGTTATGGGGGTGTAGGGTGTGTTGTGGGGGTGTTATGGGGGTGTGTTATGGGGGTGTAGGGTGTGTTACGGGGGTGTAGGGTGTATTATGGGTGTGTATCGTGTATTATGAGTGTGTGGGGTGTATTATGGGTGTGTAGGGTGTATTATGGGTGTGTAGGATGTATTATGGGTGTGTAGGGTGTATTATGGGTGTGTAGGGTCTATTATGGGTGTGTAGGATGTATTATGGGTGTGTAGGATGTATTATGGGTGTGTAGGATGTATTATGGGTGTGTAGGATGTATTATGGGTGTGTAGGGTGTATTATAAGCGTATAGGGTGTGTAGCGAGTGTTGGCAAGTGTAAAGTGTGCCTCTCAAACAATGACAGATGATAACCCAAGATAACACATATAATCACCACTATTCAATAAGAACGTTCTAAAGAACTAAGGAAACTCTTGGCCCATACGAGGTAACTCCTATTTATATCCACCCATACTCATTCACATATGTCTAGCCTACGCTTGAAACAATCCACCCATCTCCCGTCTACTATGGTATCAGGTAAGTGATTCCATAAATGAACAGAGCAGCTAAAGAACATTTTTGAACAGTTGATAAGGCACTCAAGCTCAATTTATCTAAACAAAGTCGCAATATATAACTCATTTTCAAAAGATTTTCATTTTGAAGATTTTCAAAAATGATTATTTTCATCAATATTCTCATAGGTTTTGTGAATATAGGAGGCCGTATATGGAGTCACGTGACGTTGGGATACCGTTATCTTGAGGTTATCTTGAGATGATTTCGGGGTTTTAGTGTCCCCACGGCCCGGTCCTCGACCAGGCCTTCACCCTCAGGAAGCAGCCCGTGACAGCTGATTAACACCCAGGTACCTATTTTATTGCTAGGTAACAGGGGGGCATAAGGTGAAAGAAACTCTGGCCATTGTTTCTCGCCGGCGCCCGGGATCGAACCCGGGGGAGTGCGAGAGAATGTGCTGATGGAAGCTATCATTCCAAGCCTTATCTCCCAGCTTGTGTGTGTTGGAGTGAGCCATTAGACATGAATAACTTACAGGGGTCACTCACTCCCCCCCTTCTCCTTTAATCCCTTTATCCCCAAGCCTTTTTACCCCTTTCCTATCCCCTTTCTTCATTCTCTCCCTTCCCCTTTCCACTTCCTAGTTCCACCTTTACCCTCCTTTCCTTCTCTGCCATATTTCCCCCCTTTTAAGTTCCCCCTAAACACTTATTTCTCATATATGTGTCTATCATCTCTCCCTTCTCCCTTGTTTCGTATCCTTCCCTTTGCCTCTTACCTCTCCTGTCCATTCCTCCACCCCCCTATCCCACTCATACTCCCTGCCTCACTCTTCCAGCCGCCTCCCTTCCATTACAGACACAAGGGAACCCACTCACAGAGTGATATACAGGAGACATCACCCTGCTGCTGCTGCTGCTGCTGTTCCTGCTGCTGCTGCTGCTGCTGCTGCTCCTGCTGCTCCTGCTGCTCCTGCTGCTGCTGCTGCTGTTGCTGCTGCTGCTCCTGCTGCTCCTGCTGCTCCTGCTGCTGCTGCTGTTGCTGCTGCTGCTCCTGCTGCTGCTGCTGCTGCTGCTGCTGCTGCTGCTGTTGCTGCTGCTGCTCCTGCTGCTGCTGCTGCTGCTGCTGCTGCTGCTCCTGCTGCTGCTGCTGCTGCTGCTCCTGCTGCTGCTGCTGCTGCTCCTGCTGCTGCTCCTGCTGCTGCTGCTGCTGCTGCTCCTGCTGCTGCTGCTGCTGCTGCTCCTGCTGCTGCTGCTGCTGCTCCTGCTGCTGCTGCTGCTGCTGCTGCTGCTCCTGCTGCTGCTGCTCCTGCTGCTGCTCCTGCTGCTGCTGCTCCTGCTGCTGCTGCTCCTGCTGCTGCTGCTGCTCCTGCTGCTGCTGTTCCTGCTGCTGCTGCTGCTGCTGCCAGTTGTCTAATGTTACATTACTGTTTTGTTTGCCATTAAGTGCCATTGGCAACACTGTCTTGCTTCTTAATGGCACGTCTTGGCCCGGTATTTTCCCCCCACTTAAAGATGTGTATTTCAAATGTTAAGTATTGTGACTAGGGGGGGGAGAGAGAGAGAGAGAGAGAGAGAGAGAGAGAGAGAGAGAGAGAGAGAGAATGGGAAGGAGATATCTGTCAAAAGTTGATAGACAGAAATAAGACAGAATACGCAAGCTAAAATTATAGCTGATCTTTGTTGAAGACCATTGGATCTGCGTCACCCTAGACGTTGATCTGCGTCACCCTGCACGGGGAGCTGCGTCACCCAATACATGGATCTGCGTCACCTTGCACGGGGACCTGCGTCACCCTGCACGTAGACCTGCGTCACCCTAGACGTTGATCTGCGTCACCCTGCACGGGGACCTGCGTCACCCTGCACGGGGACCTGCGTCACCCTGCACGGGGACCTGCGTCACCCTAGACGTTGATCTGCGTCACCCTGCACGGGGACCTGCGTCACCCTGCACGGGGACCTGCGTCACCCTGCACGTAGACCTGCGTCACCCTGCACGGGGACCTGCGTCACCCTGCACGGGGACCTGCGTCACCCTACACGGGGACCTGTGTCACCCTGCACGTAGACCTGCGTCACCCTGCACGGGGACCTGCGTCACCCTACACGGGGACCTGCGTCACCCTGCACGGGGACCTGTGTCACCCTGCACGGGGACCTGCGTTACCCTGCACGGGGACCTGCGTCACCCTACACGGGGACCTGCGTCACCCTAGACGTGGACCTGCAGACATTTCTTCACCAACACTTCCGTAAGTATTGACCCAAGGCAAGACGGACTGACCCGGCGGTTCTGACCGCCCTGTTGCCTCTTCAAGAGAGCAAGTCTTAAGGAGCATCTCAGGGATGCTGTGGACATCCCTCGGAGCCTCATCTCCCGCCTCCGTCACACACTCTCACTCCTCACAGACCTCGCTTCCGGTAACGTCTCGTTGAAAATAATGTCTCTTGAGTAAAAGATTAATTAGGATAATTAGAAGCCAAAAAGTATTCGTAATTATGATGTGTGTGTGTGTGTACACACACACACACACACACACACACACACACACACACACACACACACACACACACACACACACACACACACACACACACACACACACACACACACACACACACACATATACACATAGATAGACAGAGACTACAGGACGACCTGGACAGGCTGGAGTAGTGGTCTAGAAAATGGCTACTAAAGTTCAACTCAGGAAAGTGCAAAGTAATGAAATTAGGCGAAGGAGCAGAAGGCTGAACACAAGGTACCATCTGGGAGGTGAAATCCTGCCAGAGTCAAATAGAGAGAAGGATCTGGGGGTTGATATCACACCGAACTTGTCCCCAGAGAGACACATCAAAAGGATATCATCAGCGGCATATGCTAGACTGGCCAACATAAGAACTGCCTTTAGAAACTTGCGTAAGGAATCGTTCAGGACCCTGTATACCACTTATGTCAGACCAACCCTGGAATATGCAGCTCCAGCCTGGAGTCCATACCTAGTTAAACATAAGACAAAGTTAGAGAAGATTCAGCGGTATGTCAGCAGACTCGTCCCGGAACTGAGAGGTATGAGCTACGAGGAAAGGCTAAAGGAGCTGAAACTCACGTCTCTGGAAGACAGAAGAGTAAGGGGAGACATGATAACCACCTACAAAATTCTCTGGGGAATTGACAGGGTGGACAAAGACAAGCTCTTTAGCACGGGTGGGACACGAACAAGGGGACACAGGTGGAAACTTAGTACCCAAATGAGCCACAGAGACATTAGAAAGAACTTTTTCAGTGTCAGAGTAGTTAACAGGTGGAATGCATTAGGCAGTGATGTGGTGGAGGCTGACTCCATACACAGTTTCAAGTGTAGATATGATAGAGCCCAGTAGGCTCAGGAACCTGTACACCAGTTGATTGACGGTTGAGAGGCGGGACCAAAGAGCCAAAGCTCAACTTCCGCAAGCACAAATAGGTGAGTACAAGAGCCTGCTTGATACCGGCGTGATGGGGTTCTGGGAGATCTTCTACTCCCCAAGCCCGACCCGAGGCCAGGCTTGACTTGTGAGACGTCTCACCCCTCAGCCGCGGGTGGGGGGAGAGCAGCACACACAGGGAGGGTGACATCGCCAGTAAATGGGACGATGCTGTACATGAGAACGTCACTCCGGGCTCACCATAGCCCGTGCTACTTGCAACTTTTTGTTCTGAGTAAATGAATGCTTAACAACAACAACATATGTTGTTGCTGGAATATGCAGCACCGGCCTGGAATCCGCAGCTTGAGAAGCTAACACTAAAATGTAAAAAATACAGAGCTTTGCAACAAGATTTATGCCAGAGCTAAGAGGGTTAAAGTATGAGGAAACCGGTCCTGAGAACTCTGGAAGCCAAAAACAGAAGAGATATGATCTCAACATACGAGATACTGAGGGGGAAGAGACAAGTGGGACTAGGACAACCCTTTAAATCGAAAGTAGAACAAGAGGACATAAGTGGAAACTGTAAACAAATGAGTTATCTTGAGGTTATCTTGAGATGATTTCGGGGCTTTAGTGTCCCCGCGGCCCGGTCCTCGACCAGGCCTCCACCCCCAGGAAGCAGCCCGTGACAGCTGACTAAACTCCCAGGTACCTATTTACTGCTAGGTAACAGGGACATTCAGGGTGAAAGAAACTTTGCCCATTTGTTTCTGCCTCGTGCGGGAATCGAACCCGCGCCACAGAATTACGAGTCCCGCGCGCTATCCACCAGGCTACGAGGCCCCTCGTAAATAAATGTTAAAGTTAAATTTAAATGTAAGTTAAATAACTGTAAGGCAATATTCCTACCCTGTACGGGAGGGCAAGAAGCTGAATGCACTGAAAGGTAGAAGTCATGGAAGCCACCTCCACC